AGCCGTGTCGCTGCGCGCAGGGGCGGCGGGCCGCCGCGTGGACGCCGTGAGTACCGAGCCCGGAGCGCGAGTCCCGCTTCCTGGGGGAACAAAGGCAGGCGTGGGCCGGGCGGGGCTCCGTCCCGGGCAGCAGGCTTGGGGCGCCGGGGCCGAGCCTTTGTTCCGAGCCCCGGCTGTGGGTGGAGGCCCGGGCCCCGGGGATGGTCTTGTGCGCACGGAGCCGGAGGGTGGCAGCCTGAGTGCGCCGGGCGGAGGCCAGGGAGCAGCCAGGTCCCTGTGGCCTGGAGAAGGTGAACATTTGGCGGAGGATGCTGGCTTGCCCGCAGCCGAGTGGCTTGCTTTGTGTGTGTTTTTGGGAATGGGGCCTTTAGTGGCAGGAGCCCCAGTGGACAGGGCCTCTGGGTCTGACCCGGGCTGCAACACTGGTGACTCAGTGGGACGCTGACCACACATCCGGTTGACACCAAGTCCACTGGGGCCCCAGGAAGGAGCAGGCACCAGGTTCAGTGGGGGCAGGCACAGGCGAAACAGTGCGGGGGTGGGGGGGATTCCTGAATATGACTGGGCATTCAGATGCCTCACAGAAGAGGGGACTCTGAACCTGGGTCTTGAAGGATGAATAGGAGTTCGTCCTGTGAGAAGTGGGGAGTGGTCAGTCATTCCAGGCAGAGGCCAGAGTGTGAAACAGCCTGGCATGTTTCAGGGAGAACCGCTAGGATGAGCAGGAGGCTGAGCAAGGCTGGTGATGGGGAGACAGAGCGGACACCAGTCAACCCACCGACGGTCACCGTGGCCACTGCCGACAAGCGTGTGCTGTGTGCCAGGCTGTGTCCACCCTGTGCTCCCATTTTACAGCTCCAACAACTATGGCCTAGGGCTCCCCCAGAGAGCCGAGCCAGGGTGGGAACTAGGGACTCAGGGCTACCCGCTTTCCTGCTTCCTGGTCTCAGGCCCTTAAGAAAGGGATGGACAGAAGCTGGCTAAGGGCAGGCAGGAGTGGAGGGTGGGACACTTGGGGGCCATGTCACCCCTTCCCTGCTAGGGGTCAGAGATGATGGAGAGGATGCCCACGGCCTGTCCCAGCCCCTGTACCTCTTTAAATCCATTAGGTTGTGATCCTAGTCACCTCCCCCTGGAAGCCCTCCCTGGCAGGCTCCATCATAGGCTCACCTGGCATGCAGACTCGGGGTGGTTATGGCCTCAGGCCTGACTTACCTGGGCCAATGGTTTCTTGAATTCACTCACTGCTGTCCCCTAGCCCCCACTGGGCCATGAGTTCAGCAGGTGTGTGAAGGAACACACTCCATTCTCAGGGTCCCTGGGGCTCAGGTGTGTGTCCAGATAGACCAGGGGCTGACCAAGTGGACCAGGTGGCCCTTTCTTTCCCTGGGGTCCCACCTGGAAGCCGGGGGCCTTCCGAAGGTTCCTCACCCCTTGCTGCCTCGACCCTTTATGCTGTCTCCAGGATCTCAGCGGTGTCTCCTACTGCATGCTCCAACCTAAGCCATCTTCTGACCCCCAGCCCTGGCTGAGAAGTGTCTCCTTCCCCTTTTTTTGCAGCTTCATGGCGGCCGAAGAGATGCACTGGCCTGTCCCGATGAAGGCCATTGGTGCCCAGAACTTGCTAACCATGCCCGGGGGCGTGGCCAAGGCTGGCTACCTGCACAAGAAGGGTGGCACCCAGCTGCAGTTGCTCAGATGTGAGTCCTCTGGGTGGCAGGGAGCGTGATGGGAGGATATGGGGATGGGGCTGAACCCCAGCCCTGTGGCCCCACTGCCTTGTTGGACCTCTGTGGGCAAGCAGCCTGTCTCTCTTGAGCCTCTGCTCAGACATGGCCCTCCAGAGTTTTCCTTCCCTGCATGGTGGCCAGTACCCCCTGGGGGACCTGAGGTCAGCCTCCTCATTCCCCAGGACTGTGGGATGATTTGGGGTGCTACTGCAAAATGGAGATAGGTTGGGCATTTGGTGCAGAGTGCTGACCAGCGGGGAGCTTCCATCTGCAGCCAGGGGCTGGGGGCCTTCAGTGGCCTGGTAGGTCTGGCCTTGCACCGTCCAGTGGTCGGTGTCCAGTCAGTTGGTCAGTCACTAGGTCCACAATGCACCTGTGTGCCAAGACCCAGCTGGGTGCTGGACCTCCAGAGCTGCATGAGGCCAAGGCTCTGGTCCCTGGACAGCAGGTTAGCAGAGAGTGGGAGCCCCCAGGTCTAGGAGATGCCCAGTCAAAGACGTTAAGGCCAAAGAGCATCAGGGCCTTGCCTGTCGCTCTGACTGGGCATGAGCTCCCCATGCTATGACCTCTGGCCCTGGCTTTGCGCTTCCTTGAGCCAGCCTAGGTGGTCAAGGTCTCCCCCTGCCCTGGGCATGGCCAGGCCTGCCTTGGGGGTGGTGCTCTGGGGCTGGTCAGCCTGCCCGTGATTGCTTACATTTGGCCCCACAGTGGACTCCTTGCGATGGGGCAGCATGCTAGCCCAACTCCCTGCCCTTCTGTTTAGTGGGGTTCAAAGGCAGGAGGTCTGTCCTAAGTCACCCAGGGCCTCTGGGAATGGCTTCTCAGTGGGGTCTGCCCAGCAGCCCCTCAGGGCTCATCCTCTGCCCTTGCCATGCTGCCCTCAGGGCCCCTGCGCTTTGTCATCATCCACAAGCGATGCATCTACTACTTCAAGAGCAGCACATCTGCCTCCCCGCAGGGCGCCTTCTCCCTGAGCGGCTATAACCGGTAAGTGCCCCCTGCCCGCGGCCCCCGCAGAGCCCTGGCCAGGCCTGTCCCTCGTTCCCGCCCACAGAGAGTCCAGGCTGTCTTGAGATGGCTCCCACCCCACCCCTTTGGATCCTGTCCAGCCTGTCCTACTCATTCTCACCCTCTGTGTGGCCTCCTCACAGTGTCCCTCGGGCCTTCGCAGAGGACCTGGGGCAAGGCTGGGGGCTTCCCGCTCTCTCCTCAGCAGAGCCTCCAGAGTCCCCATTCGGCCACCACTCCGTCTCGCTGCTCACCCAGCCGCCTTTCCTACCATAGCCTCCTTCCAAGGGACCAGGAACCTACTCCACCCTAGGCCCTGCCTCAGGCCCCCGTGGCTTCGGGGCCTCCCAGGCCCGGGCCAGCTCCTTGCTTTACATGTGCCGTAGGCTGGGCCCATCCAGCGAGTGCCTCTCTGCTAATGGGCAGGCAGGTGCACACTGGGCCAGAACCTTCTAGATGGGATGGGGAATGCTGGCAAGTGAGGGTCCATTAGCCCCACTTGGGCCAGCCCCACAGCATCGGGGGCCTGCAGGCAGGGGTGAAGTGTGACTCCTGGGCTCTGGGTCTTAGTGTCACACCATGGGCCTGGCACCCTGCGGCGTGAGTCTGTGCCGCCCAATTTCCTAGGAGGGCCCAGCCCCTCCTGCCTATGCAGACCTGAAGGTCCCATGTCAGTGGCAGGACTGAGTGACTCAAGGTTTTGGCTGGAAGCTCAATGCGGGGGGCCTGGCCCAGGTGCCCAGCCCAGTGCCAGGCTTCCGCCAGCCAGGGCACTGCTAAGGAGGGGAGGAGCCTGGAGCTTGTGGCTGCCAGTGGGCATTCGTGGCTCAGAGCTCTGGGGTCCCCTGGGGAGGGATGCGCACCCTCACCCCGGGGGATGGGCGCACCTGCCCCAGGCGCCTGGCCCAGTGGGGCTCCCCCATGGTAGGTTTTGTGATCTCTATACAACCCCCACCGCCTGGCTGGGGGGAGCAGCCACGTAAGTCACGTCCCCCCAGTGCTCTCTGGGGTGCCTGACGGGGGCTGCAGGGGCAGGGCGGAGGCTGACATGTTCGGGCCCCCAACAGGCCGGCCCGCCGAGGTGGGCGGGTGGCACCTGAGTAGAGGGGCACTGGTGGGCAGTGAGGGTGACGTGTCCTCGTTTTGGAGCTGCTTGGGCTGCTGCTTCCAGGATGAGCCCTGTCCACTCTGTGCCCCGTCCTTGCCTGCACGCTTCCCTCTGCCTGAAGCATCTAGGCCTTTGGCCTGGAGCATCCGCAAGGCGGACCATCCAGACCCGCCCGCATCCTCGGGGGCACGGTGGGTGCGGGGTGCCGGGACCCATCTGGGTTGGGCTGACCGGGTGGTGACCGCCCGCACTGTGCCCTCAGGGTGATGCGGGCGGCTGAAGAGACAACGTCCAACAACGTCTTCCCCTTCAAGATTGTCCACATCAGCAAGAAGCACCGCACATGGTTCTTCTCGGCCTCCTCTGAGGATGAGCGCAAGGTGAGCCTGCCTTCGGGGTGGGGGGCGCCTGACGGGACGTGGTGCTGGGCGAGTGCTCATCCTCAAGCCCGTGGCCCGGTACGAGCGCCGCACGCTCAGGAGCTGTCTCGGGAAGAGCTCTGAATGGGCTAAGGTGGGGCCAGAGCCCCAGGAAGGCCACAGGGGTCGTGTCCCTGACCTCCGTGTGGGGCAGCCCCGGGCAGTGAGGGAGGCGGGGCGAGGGTGGAGCCCTGCCCTGGGCAGCAGGCACCCACCCCAGCCCCGACTGACCCACAGAGCTGGATGGCTTTGCTGCGCAAGGAGATTGGCCACTTCCACGAGAAGAAGGAGTTGCCCCTGGACACCAGGTGGGCCTGGGCTTGACATATGTGCCTACCTCCCGCCTCTGGGGGCTTGGCCCGGGGTGTGTGTGTGTGTGTGTACGCGTGTACACCCATTGGTAGTTTCCGCGGGGCAGCTGGGGATGTGGGGCCAGCCCTGAGGCCTGGCCCTGTGTGGTCAGGCAGGGGGTGGCAGGGAGGCCTCCGGTCCCTGGGTCTGTGTTTCTCACCTGTGAGGAGCTTGTTCGACTGTGTGTCTGGCCTTGCTTTGTGTTTATCCGACGTCTAGCTCTGTACACGTCCACGTGTCTGTGTGTGTGGTCGGTCTGTGCGTACGTCTGTTTCTGTGCATCGGTCCCGTATCCGAGGGTGTGCATGTGTATCCAGATGTGTGAGTGCAAAGGAACTCCCCCTGCCCAGTGCTCACCCCCCTTCCCCCGCCCCACACCTCAGTGACTCCAGCTCGGACACAGACAGCTTCTATGGTGCAGTCGAGCGGCCTGTGGACATCAGCCTGTCCCCATACCCCACAGACAATGAAGGTGAGGCCTGTCTGCATACGCCCCACCCCGTCTGCACCTGGCCCCTGCCGCCTAGGAGGGGAGGCGTTATCTGGCTGTCTTCCCCAGGCAGCCTGGGTCCTGGGTTCATGCCCTGCCCTGTGCCTCCCTGACCCGTGGCTCCCAGTGTTGTGAGGGCCCCTGCCCCACCGCCCCTGGGTGCAGCTGGGCCTGGGCCACCCTGGGTCTGACCCTCGATCTGCCTCACAGACTACGAGCATGAGGATGAAGACGACTCGTACATGGAGCCTGACTCCCCTGAGCCCATGGAGCCCGAGGGTAGGTGGGCGACCTGTGAGCCTCGGGGGCTCCTGGGGCTGGAACCTGGGAGTGCCGGCCTGAGTACCGCTCCGGGTGGCCTCAGTTTCCCTGTTGTGGCCCAAGTATTAGGAGGAACAGAACAGAAAAGGTGTATACTCTGGCTGGCTCTGCTCACCTGATCCTCCAACCTCCACAGTTAGCCTGGGATGGAGGGCAGGGGGGAGGTGATTTGCAAATAAGTGAGGTAGGGGGGCCCACATGTATAATGCTGAGCCAGGGGTGGTCCTGGGGGCTGAGAGTGGGGACATTGAGGAGTGGGTGGGTCCAGGGCAGGGCCTACTCCCTGTGGCTGACAGCTCCCTGGAGCACCTCTAGGCCGGTCTGTCACTTACCCACCCACTCCCACCTGACCTCCCAAAGTATGCGGCCTAGCAAGGGAGACAGGCATGCACCAGGCGTCACATATATCTGTCACAGCCAAGCGTAGGACCAGATGGAGGAGGGCTGTGCCTCTGTCCTGCCATCCGTCCCGTCCCACTATCCTTTCCACTTTCCTGGGGACTTGGGACAATCCCTCTACCCCCGGCCTCCCTGTTCCTCTGCTTTCTCTACAATGACCTTGTCCTCTGCCCTCCTCAGCCCCCCGCCTTTAGGTACAGCAGGTCCAGCCCTCTTCCTTCCTCCTGGCCCCCTCCCTCTGGGGCCACCACCAGGCCAGGCCATGTGCCTCAACCTCCCTCCCGGCACAGAGCCCATGGCTCCAGCCCATGTCCATCTGCCCCACCCCTGAACTGCGGCCACGCGTGGCTGGAGATGAGCACGTGGGGGCCTCACTTTGCTCGCAGCTGTGCTCCTCCAGGACCAGTGCCCGCAGACCTGCCTGCACATTCCCTCCCCACCCTTCCGAGTCCCTACTCCAAGCAGGCTTTCCCCTCCCTCTCCCCAAACATCTCTTATTTGGGTTCCAGTGGCCTCCCCATTCTCAAATGCAGCACTCAGCACCTGTGAGCTGTACGTGGCCTGGGTCGTCCCCCCTGCTCCTCAGCACCAGGAGCCTTGGCTCCAGGTCCCATCCCACCTCACTCAGCCCCACACTGGCCCCTTAATGCCATGAGCTGGGCCAATCAACATGAGCTGGGCCACCCCAGGACTCAGGCCTGGCCCACTCCTCTCCTGACAGTCTTAGGCCACTGGACAGCTAGTGTCACAGATAGCCTGTTGACTCCACTGGCCTCACCAGCCAACACCTCTCCTTGAACTCCAGACCTGCGCCCCGACGGCCCACCCCACACCCCCTCACCTCTCCTTGAACCCC